GAGGCGGTTATTGTTTGGAGGGAGAGTCCCCCTCCCTACAAGAAGCCACGACCACGTGTCAGCAGGGAAAACGGCCACGGATCCTGTTCGTCACCCGATGTGGAGTTCGCGAAAGGAAGCAAAATTTTGCAAACGGTGCTGTTCGTGACCCGAATTGGTCATGAACAGAAGCGTTCGTGACCCGAGGTACCACTGTACAGGCAATCAGTGTAAATATGATTCCATCACTGTATACATCATTATACAATTTAACTTCTGTCATAGATTCCATCAAATAAGAAAGCCTCTCAGGTGCCTTTGAAGTGGCCAAAACATCTGACCTATACTGAGCTGTTAAAACATGCTTAAATTAAAAATACTACCTCTGTTGCAAACTAGGAAGACCTAGTTCAATTTGAAGTTGTGAAAAATCCTTAAAATAATTGTCACGTAATAACTGATTTAGAGCTACTATCCCAGCTTACAAGTTCATTGACCAATATGATCATATGAACTTTGGTACCTTTCTAGAATAGAATTTTAATATACATCAGTAGATTTAAGGGGAAATCCTCAGTGTTAAATATGTTAATGCGATGTTGAATTATATACCAAAACTTTGGAATCTGACTATCTATGATGAATTATGGTTGTACTGGGCATGGGGAGTGGCCAAAATAATTGCACTGAGAAATTGGAAAAGTGATATTATTCCAGACATTAAGTTTGGCTCTTGGAAATGTGGTATTATTAGGTAAAATTTTCTTTTTTTAACCTTTTGTTTCTGATTATACTATAGTATTATATGGTATTTTTTTGTAAACCCATGACTGTAAGTTTAACACTAAAGGGTATTGTAATTTGTTACATTTTGTTAAGGTCTTTAAGTTTAGGGAGGAGGTCCTTTTTTTTTTCCTTTTTTTTTCTTATCTTTTTTTCATTGTTTAGTTAAATTTTGTAATTGTTCAGTGTTTTGGTATTTTGTTTATATTTTGTAAACTTCTACAAATAAAGAATAAAGTTTTGGGGAAAACATTTCATTATTCAATTGTTCTCCATTTGATAATATAACATATTATGACTGTTTCTAGCATCACTTTATAACATAACAAAATTAGTATAGGGTCCATTTCATTTGTATTTCTTCTGATTGTAATCTGCTGTGGCTCGAATTCAGTCTCACCGCATAAGAAGCAACTTCAGTCGTCATTGTCCACTCTATATCTTGCCCCGAAAAGATCTCTTCCTTGCCCCGTTAACTTTACCTTTACCTCCAGAGCTCCACTGACGCAAACAGTTACGAAATAGATAAGGATCTGGGGTGCTGTACGTGACTATTGCATAGGTTTCAGTGAAAATATTCATTAAATTATCTGAATTTTGGAAAATGCATTAAAAATGATTCCTTATTCATTTAATTTCCAAAGCTGTTTCATAGGTAATGGAACTTACATGTTAAGGCTACAAAGTAGGAAGAGAAAAACAAGTAAATGAAAGCTTGATACCTGGCAACTAAATACAAAATGTTTCAAATATTACAACAGCTCTACGTTCTTTACTCTAACGCAGCTTAACATAATCCATAATTCATTCCATAAAGCCGTATTTCAGGAAAATATTCCAAGTTGAGGGTTTCCAATGATCCATGTGAAATAAAATGGTTTGGTTTTGTACCTTTAATAGAAGTTTCAAATAAAAAGAAAGCCAAGAGTAGGGTTCACAACGACAGCTTTAGAGCCTCAGCAGAGTCTTTATTAGCACATCTGGTTTAATACTGAACTAGTTTTTCACTGTTTTCTAGAGTAAAGTATCAAAGGTTTTCCTCAGATACCGGTTTCTAGACTGGAATAATATTATCCTTTTTTCTGTTTTAAAAAAATCAGCATAAATGTTAGACTGAAGATTCTGTTGCAGGACAGCACTAAAATGCTGCTTATTCAGTATGGGGGTTCCCAAAGAACTATGCCAGCTTAAGTGTAGAGTAGGGGTTCTGTCCACACCAGAAGTGTGGGGAGGAGAGGTGGCATGAGAGACACCTCCTTTGGTGCTAACAACTGACATCAGAAGTCCCCAGGGTCAACCTTCCCCCTTTTCCTGCCACCCCATCTTCTCCCTTCTCTCCCACTGCTTTACTTAGCATGGGGAAGAATGGGAGAAACATGTCTTCTGCTGTCAGTTCTCCGAGTCAAGAGAAGGCCCATTTTTCCTGCTTCTCCCAAGTAGCACGAAATATGGGGTTGAAGTTTCTCTGCACTGACAGCCCCATGGTAAAGCTAGCTATTCTCCTCAGATTCACTATGGGGCTGCTGGCTGCAGCTCTTCTCCAGCAACCCCATGGTGCTGATGGTGAAGCTGTGGACAACTTCACTGGAATCTGCTAACCAGTTCTGCAGCATCTCTATAGCAAACCTGCCCATGGTGAAGTTGCCCATGGCTTCACTACAGGACTTCTGTAACAGAACTGCAGCTGGTTCTCTGGCAGCCCTGCAGGGAAGCTAGGTGTTCAGCACCTCAGTTGTGGGAGAGAGAAGCATTTTATACTGGTAGCAAAATTCTGCACCAAAATCTTGGGGGGGGGGGCGTTCAGCAGCACCAAACTGTGGAGAGTACTGTAAACCACTGGACACTTTTTAAACACATTCAGAAGTCAAAAAGCACTTTTGAAGTGGAGCAAGGAAAACAAGTGGAAGCTGCCTTTGCAGTAGCCAGAGCCAGGTTGAAGATGAGTTCATGGTTGCAGGTCCTCAACATAAAAGGGCATCCTCATGAAGTGGTGTGTATGCAGGATATGTGGCTGAGCCCCAAGGCTCCCAATACAAAGTACCTGGGATAGTAACCAAAAGCTCGCTGCTTGGGTCATCTTCTCTGCTCCCATCAATGTGTTTCATAGACAACTAGGGAAAGGCAAGGGGAGCAAGTCTTTTAACATCTCTTCCAGTTGACCAAATGGCTATCCTTTGCTTGCTTTTAACGTATCAGAGGCAACAAGTAATTCTTTTCATGTTTCCATTAAAAGTCCTGTTCAACCTTTTTGCTTTACTCTCCTTTGTTTTCCCACATCAATATCCAGAACATGGCCAGAACCTGCAAAAGAATGTAGGCTAGGAGTTAGATGAACAGAATGGCTACACTCCTGCACACACACACATACAAACACATAAACACACACAAACTACCCACATAGAGATGATTCAAATTTCCTCCTTCTCTTTTTGTACATATATATAAATGATAGCCTTTTTCTAAATTCACATTTCTCATGAATTTATACACACTATCACAGAGCAAGTTTTATTGTCTGGATAAAATACACTTCTCTCAAAATTCGTCTTAGCAAGTTGTGGAATGACCCAACAAAGATCTGGACATTTTATCAAATTCAATCAAATTTTGTCAGTTATTTTCTTTGCCCATATTGGCTTTTAACCTTCATGATTAAGTGCTCTGTATATCATATATTAGTATTTTTCCTTTTTTATAGTTATTCCTATACTGATAGTATATAATTTTTGTCTCTGATAGTTGTGAACATATTTAATAAATTGGAAAAAATCAAGTTGTTATAATTTGCAGTGGTTTCTGTATTTGTGTGTATGCATGCATGCATGCATGCATGCATCCATCCATCCATCCATCCATCCATCTATCCATCCATCTTGACTCCTGTATTTGTAACCAACTCAATTAATCAGGTGCCCACAACTTTTGCTGAAAATGAATAGGGTAATAGGAGTGATTTGATGTTTATAATTATGAACTTTAATCTGAGCAACAGTGTGATCAGCAAAGAGAACACAAAATCTACTACATTTATGCAAGTTTGTCATCAAGGTGTATATAAAAATGGAGCCTTCAGGTGACAAAAAACAGAATTCCCATCGGATATTTGTTAAAGCAAGGTAGCAGATATGGTTTCTGCTATGACCAACAAGAAGAGTTCATTGAAAGGTATGTCTTATTTGTTATTCTTTTCCACATTTTTTCTTATTTTGAATAAGAGCAATTTTGTAAATAAATAACAATAGATTTTGGAGAACTCTCATGTAATATATATAGGATTATATTCAGTGGGGTTTACTCTTTGTTAAGTATTTCTAAGAATAAAGTCCTGCTTAAGATGATAAAATGCTTTTTCCATTCTACCTAAATACTAAAGTCTCATGTATGTTGGCGCTATATATTCCAGGACATTCAATGTGATTTACTCCCATGTGTGTGTCCGTAGAAGTGAAACCTGAGAATATTGTAATTAGCAGTAAAGTGGATGGACTCAGTTACAGTGACAATGGGTACACTGTTGGAAGACCTGAATAAACCAGGTTAGGGACAGATTGTCATGGAGAAAATCTATCTGTGTGATTGCTAAGAGTTGATACCAACTTCATGGCACATAAATAATCAATCAATGTGTATAGAGTTTAATTATGCTTAGCAAGAGCTGCATTCCATTCTCTGTACTTTAAAAGAGAAATGGAAACTTAGAGGCTCAACTAACTCCAATAAAGATACTATGCCCTTGCTGCAGTTTGGACATAACTAAACCATGGGTTCATTAATCCCACAAAAGGTTTTCCAAATCAAGGTCCAGGACCAGTTTCACAGAATAGGCATAATGCTGGATATTGAAAACACATGTTAGAGTACTACAATATCAGTCAATGTACAAAGTACTGAATTCAGAGCATGGAAAACTACCATGTACCTGGTCAGAATTGTTGTTGTAACCAATATTGTCTACTTTAACTGGCTATGGCTCTGCAGGGTGTAAGACTGAAATATTTCTTATTCCTTATATATGATTTATCTAATGGGAAGTGCAAAAGTCTGAATCTTGGGACTTCCTGTATGCCCAGCATTTGCTGCACCACTAGGCTGTAACTTTTCCCAAGAAATCAAACTTAGCTTCTGCCAATATAAAATGAATTCATTTGGTAAATGCTCTTACAGCAGTCACACTGCTTTTGTAAAGAACAGGGCATAGGGCATTGTCTAATCAATATACCAATTTATCAGTAATTAATTTAAAAGATTTTGTATGAGACATATTCTCAAACCTGCTCTCTTAAGATATTCAGCACTACCTCCCTTCAAAGTTATCATGCCAAGGAACTTAAACAGCACAGCTGCTGAAAATTTGTAGGCAGCAGCCCAAGACAATCAACAATCTAGAGTGCGACCTAGTTACCTTTCCTCAAATTTAATTTTAAAACCATATGTTTGTCAAGAAGGAAGCCACTCTTGGAAACAGCCAGAAAGAAAAGGGGTTCAACTATGCTTCCACACTTTTACACTTATTATTGCTATGACTGGTTTATATTCTACCTCCGCCAACGTGAAAAGGTTGAATTCCTCACATATGGTTATTTAAGAAGTCAAGCATTTGAGTAACAGGTCATGGAATACTAAATAGAATTTTCTTTTTGCTTGCTTTGCTTCATTTTCTGGATACTTGCCTTCTTCTTTTTTCTTTATCTTCAAGGCCTGTTTCTAGCCACCGTGCTGCTGGCTAATATGTTCCTTTCAAGGAAGTGTGTAACATCTTCACCCATTTGTCCCAATGGGTCCGACACTTGCCAGGTTTCTCTTGGGGACCTTTTTGACCGTGCTGTTAAACTCTCCCATTATATCCACTCTCTGTCTTCTGAAATGTTCAATGAATTTGTAAGTATTTGGGCATAAGGAAAGAACCAGTCCTGTAGCAGGGGCTCTCCGAGCGTTCCTGAACAACAACTCCAGGCACCCCTTGCCAGTCGTGATGCTTTCTGGATTTGCCAGGAATTGTAGATCAGCAACATCTGAACTGCCCCAGGTTGCCCACCAGTACTTTATAGAGGCAATCATTATTGTTAGTGATAGTTTTCTTATTTCTTCTGGCTCAGTTTCACAATGGGTAAAATGTAAAGTATTGGTTCAATGTTTATTATCTATTTAGAAGTGTAATTTCATAAGGCTGCCTTGATTATTGCTAGGTGGTACCAAGCAAACATTCATTGCTTATCGCAATTAAAGATTCTTAAACTATTGGTGAATAAGTTAGCAAAGCCCCACAATAAAGTAAGCTACACAGATTTGAAGTGCATTTCCAGAATGGGAATTCAACAGAATACTATATTTCATATCTTCAAGTTGAGATGAGAAACAGGGTTTTCAGAACCTGCTCTAATACACTTTTCAGCAGTGAAACAAGCTTACCTCCATTCATTTTAAAGTGAGATGTTCTGTATTTCTTAAGGCGCAAGTGTAGGAAATGGGATGGAGCAGCTAGTTAAGTTTCATTAATAGATCCATTGTAGTGAAAGCCTCATCTCCCCTGGGGAACAGAACAGCAACAAAGGATGTGGAAGAAGGAAAACGCTGTCTTCTATACATAGAAGTCATTTAAAGTAACAAAATGAAAATGTGCAAAACTAAGTAACAAATGTCCAAGTGAAAGCCTTGTTCAGAGAAAAATAACTAAATGCCTGCAAGATAGCATAAACTGCTTTTATTAATATGGGAAAACATGATGCTTCAAACCGATTTCCTTCCACAGTATACTTAGAGCCAAATCACATTTGACTAAGCCATGCAATAAGTTTATGAGACAAAATTAATGCCCTCCATAACTCTAGGATACATTTTACAAAGCAACCAGTGAAAACCAGAAACAGTCTATTCTTTCTCAAAAATCCTGATTATCTACTTGACTAAATGTCACCTTTGTTTATCGTCAGGACGAACGCTATGCTCAGGGCCGAGGGTTTATTGCAAAAGCCATTAACAGCTGCCATACTTCTTCCCTAACCACTCCTGAAGATAAAGAACAAGCTCAGCAGATACATGTAAGTTATGCCCATTTGTTGACAGATGTGAGCAAGTTCACTGGAAATCTAATGAAATCATTTCAAAGCGCGCAGTTACCGTACATAGAGTTATAATGGGGAGCTCTACCGTTGCCCCACCTCTGGAAGTGGTAGGAATAAGCAAAGGCCAAAAAAAGGAAGCATGTTCTGACCTATATGACTGAAAAAGTAAAACAATCCATTCACAATACAAAACAAGACTGTGTTTCACAAAGGCAGGAGAAGTACAAGGAGGGTTGATGAAAGCATCATTATCTATTCTAAGGAGAGATGAGGAGATAGTATTTTTCTGTATGGAGATGCATAGACAGTAGACTATAGACCAGTGTTTCTCAACCTTGGGAACTTTAAGATGTGTGGACTTCAACTCCTAGATGCTGGCTGGGGAATTCTGAGAATTGAAATCCACACATCTTAAAGTTCCCAAGGTTGAGAAACACTGGTCTAAAGTATATTGTCCATATAGTCTACAGCAGGATGGAAAAGCACATCAGGCAAGGAGGGAAAAATAGTTCTGAAAGGCCAGGGGCTAGAACTCCACTGCAATGGTCTCTTGTATCACAGTTTTCCTCTATGTCCCAGTTTTGGAAATAAAACACACCTGACTGAATAATCAAATTGTAAAAATAAGTTTCTACTCTGGCACTTGAAGAGGAAATCTCTGGAATGTCAAGGTGTCACTCGAGAGCCCATTCCTATTGATTCACTTTCAAATTTCAAATGCCATTCATCCGCTGAATAATCTGCCTTTTCAGAAACCAAAACATGTGCCACAAATATTTGAGATATGTATGTGCTTGGTATTTATCTGTGTTTGCACGGGCTACTTGGGATGTTTGAGCCTTTCAATATAGTAGCACAATAGCTCTTCTCCCAAGAGAAGCAGGAGGAAATTGATGCCACAGAATAGATGTATTTTGTTATGTAAGGAAAGTGAAAAGTGATAGTGTCAACATTGGAGAGGTCTCAAGGACAGCACAATAGTTAGGAGGATCCTAGGAAAGCAAAAAACCCTTTGATCTTTCAGCTCACCCCAAGCAGTGGCAAAGTTTCAAAAGAAAAGAAATCTCCCCAGAAGCAAAACACTTGAAATCAGCCCTGTGCCTGGGCATGTTTGCAGGACTGGATGTAGACAGAGTAAATGCTTCAGGATGAGGTATTAAATCGCCTACCACAGATTACATCTTCCATTATATCTTCAAATATTTTCTGGATCCCATATTTCTAAAAATGTATCATTAATACTCAGGCTAATCTTTAGATTAAATGGCATTCTATGCAACAGAGATGGAGTGATTTCTACCGGCACATAATACTGCAGAGAATTTACTGATAGTGTGATATTTAGGGCATTCTCTTATTTAGTTATATTTTAAAAAAAGAAAAAAACCTGGGAATTGCACTACAGCCTCTAGTTTAGCTATATCTGATAAATAGATAGATATAAACTTGCAGTAAGGACATTTTAAGGCAGTTTTGATAAGAATCTTACCTATCTCCTGTGTAGATTTTGCACACTAATTATACAATTTTGTTGCTAATGAACAGCATGAGGACCTCCTAAATCTAGTCTTGAGTGTACTCCGTTCCTGGAATGACCCTCTATTACATCTGGTCTCTGAGGTGCAAAGAATCAAAGAAGCTCCTGATACCATTCTCTGGAAGGCCATGGAGATTGAGGAGCAAAATAAACGACTTCTAGAGGGGATGGAGAAAATAGTTGGACGGGTGAGTCAAAAGTCCTCTGAAGTCCTTCCAGCTTCATAACACTATTCAGAATGTATAAAATGAGACAGAATTTTTTGTTTGTTTGTTTGGACTAAAAGGCTTCAAAGAAAGAAAGTTAAAAGTGCCAGCAAAGCCTTTCAGATGTAGAGATCTGTTTGGCATCTATAAGAAGTAGCCAAGTATCTTGTTCTTTACTAATAAAAAAGTTACTAAGGGCCAAACAACAAAGCAGAAAGCTTATCTTCTAATTTTTCTTAATACTAAAGCAAGTATATGGCCCAACCTAGACTGAGAATCAGCATACAGGATAGGAGACTTTAATCTTTCCTCCTACCTCATATTTTATAAAATTAACACTATTCCCTTGCACATGAAAGTGCTGAAAAAAGAATAACTTTCTTTGATACCATTTTTTCTTTTTAACACTTTCTTGCAGAGAGGGAATTTAAACTTCTTCTTGCCCTATGCAGGCTAATACTAAAAAACAAAAACAAAAACTGATCTTACAAGAAAAATCTCAAAATCAACTGCATATTACATACTTACTATATCATATAGTTACCCTGAAAACAGTCAGTAAAACTTTTTAACATATATAGCTATGTGCCTTAGAAAAGTAACAGAATTAGTAAGCCTGTGCCATGGTTAATGAAGGTAATAAATAAAAGCTGTTGCATATCTTGTACATACTTTATACAGTAATGGATTAAAAGTGTTAAGCTAACATTCTTTCTTTACACATTTGTTTGAACCAAGAATGTTTCTGAATTGTCATTAATTTATTAGCTTAATTTCTTACGTGTCAAAGGCAAAATCTACTATGAAACTGAAGGAAAGTAGCTGAAAAGTAAATTCATCAAATGAGGTATTTCTAAGCAATTTTAAAAATAAAATGCAAGCCATTATTTTCTTTTCACATTTACATTTCCTTCAGTTGATACAGTTATTTTTTATAGCAAGACACCTATGCAGCATTTTCTATGTAAAATTTAAATACTCCTAGAAGAAGTAGCTGTCTGTTCTAAGGAAGGGCACTAAAACCATGTAAAGTACAAATGTTTTTCACAACCATATCGCGGGTAGAGACTGTATTTGCTCTTTTTCCCTGATCCATCAGGAACAGGCTAATATGACTGCCCTCCATCAAATTAGTGCAAGTCATGCTTGCAACACTTATCTGAAAATGCCTGCATGTTCAAGCATTTCAGATGATCATTACCTGCCAATGTTTCACTAGCGCACATGGGTCCTAGATCGCTAATACCTAGATGGGATCCTGACAAGCCCTATTATTCATTCCTCAGCAGTTTCTTTAAACTTTCCTGCCACTGTTTTCTTGAATTAATTACACAACATCAGGTAGAGTGTCTCTTTTTTTCCATAGTAAGATATTCAGCCTTTAATCCCCCCCAAATCCTAGAAATAATGTATTTGTCCTTTAGACTGCTTGCTGGTGTTTTCAGCTTGCCTCTGTTGAACTGCCAAATAACACAGGTTGGTTGTAACATCTAGAGGAACCTTTCCCAATCTAATGTTCAAATCTGAACACTGCATATGTTTTGTACAAGATGTTTTACTTCCATTTCACCAAAAGAAACTCTGTTTCATATTACAAGTTCATGACAAGATATATATACAAGATAATTAGAAAGCACTTTGAACATTAGAACTGCAAAGTAAACAGGTAAGACTTTCGGTGAAGATTATTTCAGTTGCCTACTTTCACCAAATAAAGGCTTTTATTATAATGAGGAGCAAATACAATATTCTCCCCATGAATTTACCTTCCTCTGCTTTAATTACTGGGCATTTTAAAATATAAGCCAAGATGTTCTCAGATTCCAAATTACTATCTGATAAATCTTCAGTCATATTACGGTACTCTAAGGCAGGGGTGCAAAAAGTTTGGGCCACAAGCATTTTTGGTACTATCAAAGCTAATGGGACCAGACATTTTGACCCCTGCTTTTTAAAATATATACATTGGAAAATGATGAGAGCCAGTTTTGTGTAGTGGTTAAGGCACCAGGCTAGAAACTGGGAGACAGGGAGTTCTAGTCCCACCTTTGGCACGAAGCCAGTTGGGTGCCCTTGGGCCAGTCCCTCAGCCCTCAGCCCTAGGAAGAAGGCAATGGCAAATCACTTCCAAAAATATTGCTAAGAAAACTGCAGGGACTTGTCCAGGCAGTCACCAGGAGTCAACACTGATTGAAAGGATATCTATATCTATATCTATATCTATATCTCTATCTACAACTGTATCTGTAACTATATCTATCAATTCATTACAGTTGTAGTACAGTACAAGCAGAGTACTCTGTCAATATATATAAGTCTATCTTAATAGATAATAAATGAAATAAAATTTAAGACAAAGTTTTTATACATTTATAAAACAACCTAACTAGCATCTATGAGTGAGGTCCAGGATGCAGTCTATATTTAAATTATAAAGTAGACACTAAAATTATATAAAGTATAACATCTAAAATTACAAAAAATTGATAATATCTAAAATTTGAATGAATTCTATTTACATAGAACATGTTTAGCTAGCGGAAAATTGGCCCATCAGGGTCTGGCGGATCTTCCGTGCTGCTGCACAACCCTAGCCACCTGCGCTGTAACAAAAGGCAGTTCATCTATAAGCAGTATCTGGGCATAGGCTGAGTCCGAGCGATCAGAGGTAGGATGAATCTGGTTCAAATGTCTCCGTAAAAGGAGCATCGAAGAAGAACATGTTCTGTAGTTTCCACTGCCCCTGTGGTTCCATATACACCCTGGAACCACAGGGGCAGAGCCTTTCAGCCAGTGGTATTTTTTTATATTTACCATCCAGTAGTGCAGAGGGGAGTACATGACATCAGGCAAGAGAGAAAGCTTTCTGATGGTTGGGTGTTTCTAGCTGTGTAAGATAGCTGGCAGCAATAACAATATATCTGTTGTGTACTGGTGACAGGAAGGCTGGGGCCTTCCCTAGATAGGCTTCCACTCCGTATCCTTTATCCTTTGCTTCAGGGTTTGCTTCACCTGATCGTATTTCATCTTCAGAACTGAGGAAGGAGAGTAGCCTAGATTTAAAAGTTTAGATTCAACAGCCTTGATCCATGTAGATTGAAAACTGTCCTGGAGAATTAATGGTGCTAGGGTCTCAGGATAAAAGTTAAGCTTTAACCAAAGGTTTATAAAAGCTAGACACACTCTTGAGTCAATTTTTATCATATCTGTCTCTAGTCATAAATGTGTGTCGGAGACACAACGAGGTATCTGGGGAGCTGCTCTGATGAATTTAGATGTACCCTCTCCAAGGAAGTCAAATGTCTATGTCTATGTCTACGTCTATATCTATTTTTTTTTTCTATTAATCCAATCGTGTCCAATTCTCAGAGACTGCCTGGACAAGTCCCTGCAGTTTTCTTGGCATGGATTTTTCAGAAATGGTTTGCCATTGCCTGCTTCCTAGGGCTGAGGTAGCGTGACTAGCCCAAGGTCACCCAGCCAGCTTTGTGCCTATGGTGGGACTAGAACTCATAGTCTCCCGTTTCTAGCTTGATGCCTTAACCACCACACCAAATTGGCTCGATATAGATATAGATATAATCTATACAGTATCTATTGAAAGATGGGGGTATTTTAGAAGCAAAACAGTTATTTTAAACCTTGAAGATATTTAAAGCACACATTTTATCTCTTAAGAATTCCTGTATTTCCCACAGGGCCCTGGCCCCACCAATTTTGAAAGTGTGGCTCTCAATCTACCATACTAAATGGGGTTGTATGTAAGTTGTGCATCTCTGCTCTAAAGACTGACCAAGACATTCCTAGCAATTGTGAAATCTTTGAAGTTTTCTTTTTTTAATTTTGCACTTTCCTTAGGTTCACCCAGGTGACTTAGGCAATGAAGTCTATTCTAGATGGACTGGGCTCCCATCCCTCCAACTCGCTGATGAAGATTCTCGCCTCTTTGCCTTCTACAATCTGCTGCACTGTTTGCGTCGGGACTCCCACAAAATTGACAACTATCTGAAACTCCTGAAGTGTCGCCTCATCCATGACAGCAATTGTTGAACAGCTGTGGTCTCACTTAATTAAAATGATAGCACCACATCTTTTTAAAATAATCTGCTTTTAGCCTCACTGCTTTTATGTACACTTTATAGAAAAATCTCAGCTTGCAGGAAAAGATTTAGAGCCCCATTACGCTCACTTTTCTCTGGTTAAACTGTCAGATAAACAATTATTTTTTCTGTTGAGAGCACTTTAGACTTCTTCATTCAGATTGCAGCAATATTCAAATCAAGCAATAAAACACTGAAAATATGCAAAGAGATTATATTTATTGAAAGTTGGAACTGGGTGTAAAACAATGGGGCATATCAGTGGGACCCAGAGTTACATGCAACTCCCAAATGCGTTCGATACAATCCTTAGAACTCCTCCAAAACTGCTGCCAAAACTGTAGTTTTGAATGTGACAAAAAAGGGGGAAAGATTAAATACATTAATTTACTTTAATTGCAAATTAAATAAAATCAAATTTAGTTCTTGTCCTGATCCTACCTACTCTTTGAGATTCATCTCACAATATGGTACTAAAAGGCCAGGTATAGCTCTAAGCCATATACCACTTCCTCCAAATTAGTGCATGTCTGATTTAAATCTTTTGAAATGCTGACTTCTTGGTTGCCAGCTTTATAGAGCTGCTGGATATTGTGGAGTTTCTATACAAGAAGAGACAACCCTACTCAGACGACTGGATTTTCAATTAAAATCAAGAATTCTAGGACTTGTGTCCAGTGCCATCGTCTAGGTCTGACTTCCCTCCTCCAATCCAGGCTGTAAATAGTTAATCCAAGGAACTAAACTGTAAGACCTTTGTCTAACAGGGAATGTATTAAAGTTATAACATAAGAATTCAAGTGGGTACCCTACTTTCAAATGAGATGTTTATATATAGCAATTTAGGGAAGCAGAACTCGTCTGTTTTTCCTTTTGCTTTTTCTATGATTTGAGGCTGCAAGCTTGTCTCTTTTGTGAGGGAGGGGCAGTCTGTGTCCATTCCCTGTTTCAATAATTGCATTCATATCACTGTGAGAAGTCTCTTTTTTATTTGCAACAATGGTACTCATTCCTGAAAATAACAGGCCAAAACATATAGGCCATTCTAAAGGAATCTATTTTCTTGATTTCACTTTCAATCTCAGTGTTCAATGTAACATTGGGCATTATGTTTACCTTTCACTTTCCTGTATGGAAAAATGTCTAGATCTGGGGCTGACATTGTACAGATCTGTGAATTTTGAGATCTAGGTATGGTTATTAGTGATCATAATTTTATGGATCTTGGTAACTATTGCACTTCACCTATCCCATCAGGGATCTCAGTGAAGGACGAGAAACGGGCAAAAGATGTGTTGTATAGAGTTCAAGCTTTTATCAATTAGACTTTTGATAAAATAAGAACACACAATCTATCTCCAAAGCATGTGTATGCCATTTTACTCATATAAAGCAATCAAAGCAATCTTTATCATATGCCAGAAACAGTTTTACCAGGAGCTCTGCAAACAACTACATATAGTTTCTACACTAAGAACTTTATAAAATGTAAAAACTCTAAAGTGTTCTTAATGATATTGCTCTAAATATATTTTACCAATACTTCAATTTCCAAATTCTGAAAAAAACTTATTTACTTGATGTAAATGCTGCTTTTCTGTTCAAATTGATAATATTTCGCGGAACCTTAATCTCCATACTTTCAGGACAATTTGTTAGGCTTTCCTTTGTGCATCCTTTTTGGTTTTAGAAGTGTCAAACAATCAATAAAAGTGGTGAGTGTGCAGTTATAGCACTCTCCTGGGTGGAAGCTGGAAGTCCTGATAATCTTATCAGGGAATGGCTCTGTCCTTGGAAAATCTCTGATATATTGATGCAGACAAAAGGACTTAAGTTACTTTAGACTAAAACTCTAGGTGATCAATCATCCTGATTCTGCCTTTTGAATAGCTCTGTAGTGAATACATCATTTTAAAGTGGTACTTGCCATTAAGTACCATGAAGCCTGTTTAATTAACTTACCTGCCTACAATACTTGTAGTGTAGCCAGTAGGCTACAAAGATTCTTGCATCAAGAGTCATGCTTGGTGTCAACAAGGCAATATAAAAGCAGACTCAGGAGCAGTAAACTTAGTGGGGCTGATAATTTTGTTCCCTGCTACAGTGGAACCTCAGGTTACGAATTTAATTTGTTCCGTGACTCTGGTCGCACCCCAAATTGGTCGCAACCCGAAGGAAA